CGGCCCAATTCACTTTCGATTGACAGCACTCTCGACATAGCCAAGAATCCAGAGTACAACTTGGGTCTGGATCTCTCTGTGGACCACAAGAAGAAGCACAGCGAGGCTGAAGTGGAACTCAGGTACGGACCTAATCCAAAAGACAAGACCAAGAAGGTCTTCTGGTCTTCCTCCTTCACCAGGAAGCAGGCGAGCTGGAAGAACGCTGACCTCAACTTCAAGATGAACGCAGTGGTCCCTGCTCAAGTAAGCTTTGCATTTTAATCTCATTTATTTGTTGTCTTCTCCAAAGTACGTATTTTAAATACTTTAAACAAATCAATCTGTCCTTCTTAAAACATAAAACACAATTAATAACCCTTGCTATCTGTTCATATCTTCGAGGTGGCATTTTAAGTATGCAGCATGCTGATACATCGATTATTATTGGGGTTATCGCAATCGATATAAAGTGTTTGCTTCGGCTGATGAATAGTCCCCAATGCTACCCGATTCTCAAACATTAAAGATGCGCCCCCTCCCCCTCTCCCTTTCTGTTTCCCTCTTTCTACCTAAAGGGCGTGGATGTAAGTGTGATTGGCCAGCATGAGCATACTCCCAAGATGCTTGACTCCAACTTCATGTTCAGCTACGGAGGCAAAGGAAAAGACATTAGCGCTGAACTGACCATTAAAGACAAGAGCAGCAAATTGGCAAAGATCAACGGACAAGCTGTTGTTGCCTGGCCCGGCTCAGCCTACACCCTGACCACCGACTTCGACCAGAAGTCTGAGAAAAAGTACATCCACGAGATGAACCTGAAAGACAACAGTGGCAAGAAGCACGCAATCACCACCATCTACAGAGTTCCCAAGGAAGACGCATACGAGCTGACGACAAATGTGATGCTGCATGGTAGGAAACCAATCACGTTGTCTGGATCCACCAATCTTGACCTGAAGAATTTCGAGATCTCAGGAGAAGTCAAGAATGGCTCAGATACTTACGGTCTCAAAACCAAGGCGAAAGTTACTAAGTCCCCAAGCGCAAATGTTGTTGTGGAAGTGGTGTATCCTGCCAGGCGCATGACCCTGCTCGTGGATGGAGGAAAAGGAAAGAACAAGGTCAGCGGCCATGTTGAGGCTGCTTGGAACGTAGACAAGGACAAGAGCGCAAAGGTTGTGATTGATGGATCCGGATACTTGAAAGCATCCAAGAAATCTTCCAGTCTTGGGGGCAACATCAAGTTCAACTCGCCCTTCGAGAACTACGAAGACATCATGACAGCTTTCAAGTACGGAAGTGACAACGGTCAACACGACCTCAACGGCAAGGTGTCGTGGGGTGGAAAGGGTAAGACGATTCTGTCCAGCCTTACTGTCAAGAAACCCATATCTCTGGGAAATCTGCAGATGATGGCAGAGACAAAGAGCCCGTTCAAGGGATACCGAGTTATCTCCTTTGATGTTGACCATTCCATGGAACCAAAACTGAAAACTGTTCTCAAGGGCAGATGGGAAAAGGAAAATGGAAAACTGACCATCGAAGGCGAAAACCTTGGAGACATGTACAGGCGTAACATCAAGGGAAGTGCTGCACTCAAGTCCACACTGAAAAATGCCGAGGAGGTCAAGCTGAGCTTGTCTCACTCCGATGGAAATGGGCAAATTTCTTCTAACGCTGCTCTCATTCACAACGGAAAGCCTTACGGATACGAAATGAAAATAGACCACTCCCAGAACGGCTGGCAGATCAAGAACGCCGGAGACCTCATTTTGACTATGCCCGACAACAGAGTCAAGACAAGCTGGAAGCACAAAAACGGCGAGAGATACGTCAAATCATCTCTCAACTCCAGCTGGGGAAAGAATCGCCTGCTGGTTGATGTTGATGGTTCTCAAGACCTTCTGTCTTCTGGTGCCCTAAGTGGTGACATCACGGTCAAGACTCCATGGAAATCGTTCCGAACCGTTGCCCTTTCTTTAAAACACAAACAAGGACAGGGCCTCATTTTGAGCAAGGCTTCCCTAAAACAGAACGGAAAAGTGCAAGCTTCTTCTATCCTTAACTACAACGGTCACCCGTCCGGATTGGATATTGACTTCAATCTGGTGTCACCATTCCACGAAGAGATCAACGGCAAAGTCAACACCAAACATAGCGCCTATCCAATGACTGGCTTAGCTGAAATTAGTTGGTCTCCTAGGTATAAGACTGTTATGGAAGGTTCCATGAATCTTGCTTCTTGGGAAAACGCAAATGTTGACATGAAGTTGATCACTCCTCTGAAACAGTACCGCAACATTGTCTTCAAAGCCTCCAACAAAGACGAGAGGGGAGAGATGGTATCTCACATGACCCTCGACTATGGAGTCCGAAAGAACATCGACCTGGAGAGTAGAATGGCCTTTGGGGACGCCAAGAAAATGTTCCGGCTCAGAATGACAACTCCTTGCGAGCACATGAAATCCTTGGACACCGGATTCACCGTTGTAGGCGATATTGAGGGCTTCGATGGATCCGCAGATTTTGAGATGATCCCGGCTATTAATAAATTCCAAGGGTCTCTCAACTGGCAGTACAGCGATAACCTCAAGGGAAATCTCCGCCTGGTAACCCCTATCCCCGAGTATCCGTACATTGAGCTGTCAACCTCCAGCCAGAAGACTGGACAGACAAGGCAATCGTTCATCTCGGCAGAATACTCTCCCCGCCATAGATACCGCTTGGACACCACTTACAGTCTCGAGATGCCGTATTCATTCGAAGCCACCATCAGCTCTCCTTTCCCCGAGTACAACAACCTGGGGGTCACCTTCCAGCACAACCAAGACCCATCCAAACTAGTGTCTCACGGAGAGGTGCGTTACCAGCCCGACAAGAAGGTTGAGGGCGATTTGAACGTTGACTGGTCCGATCTTGTAGAGGGCACGCTCGTGCTCAAGACTCCAATCCAAGGGTACGAGAAGAGCAAAGTAATGTTGAGACACAAGGGCGACAAGGGCGACTTCAGCAGCCATGGAGAGGTGAACTTTGCAGACAAGAGCGTGTCGGCAGACGCCAGCTTCAGCAGCGGCTACACCACGACAGGAATGTTCACCTTCAACAGCCCTATCCCTGGCCTGGAAAAAGTTGAAATTTCCGTGAACAAAAGAGGCAACATCAAAAACGTAAAAGGTGGCGCCACTTTCGTGCTGAACAATGTCAAGACTCAAGCAAATTTCAACCACAAAATGAAGGACGGAACGTTGAAGTCGACCTTCAGTCTGTCTAACCCCAACATTAAAGACTTCAAGGTCAGCGTCGACCATAGTGGCGTCCTGGAGAGTTTCACCAACAAAATGTCTCTCAACTATGGCCGTCGTTACGACATTGACACCATCCTTGCCTTCGACCACAGACAACCAGACATCAGCGGTAATGGCATGATCAAATACAGACTGGACGGTCCCCGAAATACTGCACGGGTGACTTTCAGCAAGAATGGTCAAGTTGAGGACATGGCCTTCAGCGGAACTGCCGCCTTTAACAGAGAAAATATCGGCGTACAGGGCTCCTTGAAACTCATCGGTGGAATTGATGGTTCCATTCAGGTGAGCACACCATTCGATGACTTCAGAAACATCGGAGCCGTACTGACCCAGACTGGACACGTGAACGACTTTAAATCAGAGGCCAGCGTAACCTACATGGACGGCAAGAGCATTACCGGAAAAGTTGACATGTCTTCCTTTAGTCTGAACAACCTCCGCTTCAATGCCGAGGTGACAACTCCTTTCCAGGAGCTACAAAAGACGACGGTGAGCGCACACCATGCCTATGACGAGTACACCTTAGGTCTGTCCGGAGGCGCTACACTGACAACCACCATCGGCCAGTTCGGACAAGGCAGCGTCACCTACAGCAAATCAGGAGATCTGGACAGCTTCAGTGTTCAGATCAATGGAAAATACGCTGATAACGAGGCAATTGTTTCCGCAACAAAGAGCGGGTCTTTGGATGATTTCACCGTAGGCGGCAGTGCCAGCTACAACGGCCAAGCCATCAGCATGGACGGTTCACTGAACACCATCAGCGGCATTGATGGATCAATTAAGGTGAAAACGCCTTTCACGGATTTCAACAATGTTGCGATGAAACTGTCTCACCAGGGATCAATCAACGACTTCAAGAGCCAAGCGTCCGTAGACTACATGGACAACAAGAACGTTAACGGTATTGTGGAATTTTCCGCTGACGGTCTCCGAGATGTGAAGATCTCCACTGAAGTAAACGCTCCTCGGGAACTTCTGGGATCCTCTAAGCTAACCCTGAACCACCAGTATGACGCATACAGGACAGCGTTCTCGTCGAATGGCGATCTGAGCAGTCCTATCGGTGGATTTGGACATGGCAGTTTCCAGATCAGCAAGACCGGCGGCTATAGCGATCTCAATATCGAGGGCAAGGCTACTCACAATGGTCAAGATATTGTGGACACCAAAATCACCAACTCACTCCAGACCCGTTCCCTGAACACCGGTGTGAGTGTGAAGAGCTTTGCGACACCAGACTTTAAGCTGACCGTTGACCATAATGGAATTTTCCTTAACAGCAACACCAAGGCTCGTGCCTCTCTTGGAACTGACAACGTCTTGTCCGTTCAGGCTACAGTCAGCAACAGTGGAGACGTGCTCGACGGACAGGGCCACTTCAGCCTCCTCACCAGGGAATCTGGCTACAACCAGGGATCTATCAACGTCCACAAAGAGGGCCAGATTGATGACTTCACCGTGACTCTGACCACTGACCTCAACAATGAGAAGTATACCGTAACCGGAGCCTTGAAGGTCAAGGACGAGATCATAGGATCCGTCAAGCTGCAAACACCCATCAAAGGATACAGAAAAGTCGGAATGTCCTTCAAGCACTCTGGCAACCTTGACAGGTTCAACACAAATGGTGATGTCACGTTGACTGACGGAAATCGTTACTCTGCCAAACTCGACTTTTACCGGTATCTGCTCCAGCGCATTGAAACAACACTGGAAGTGACGACACCAATCCAAGGCTACGAATTCACCAAGTTCGAGTACAGACACGAAGGTAGTCCAGACAACTTCAAATGCTACCACTCCCTCGAGTACGGAAACTCACAGAAAATCACATATGACCTTCAAGCAAGCACATCTCCCAACCCTGACTTGAGAATGACGGTGAAGACGCCATTTTACATGTATGAGGATCTCTCGGCCTCTGCTTCTCTTGTCAACAACTGGCCGGTCGCTTCCGTCTCCGGCAAGGTCAATGCTGGAAATGGCAACGTCGTGTCTCTCCAAGGAGCTCTGGACGTGAGCTCAGACATGTCAGGCTCCCTGACCGTGTCCACACCCCTGGAGGATTTCTCCAATGTCGGCCTTAGTTTCCAGCATTCTGGTGACCTGATCAACTTCAACTCAGAGGGAAGAATCACTTATATGGACAACAAAGACGTCTCTGGTAAACTGAAGTACAAACGCAGCGGTGCACGCATCACTGCCCAGATCAAGACGCCATTTCAAGGCTACGAGCTGACCAAATACGAGTACAAACAGAATGACAACCAGAACCAGGCTTTCTATGAGAGCTCCCTCTTGTATGGAGACAACCAGGAACTGCAAAGTACTGTCAAGGTTGTCTATTCTCCAAATCCACAATTGGCCATCACTGTCAAGTCACCTTTCAGAAACTACGAAGACATGAGTGTGTCCTATTTGCTGGACACCACAGGACCACAGTACAAACTGGAGAGCAACGCCAATCTGGGCAACGGTCGCTCCGTCACTTTCAAGAGCGGCTTTGATACTTCTGACGACATCTCCGCCTTCGCTACCCTGATCACACCGGTCTCTGGCTACAGGAACCTCGGGGTGGATTTCAGCCACTCAGGAAACGCCCAAAAGTTTACATGCCAAGGAAAACTCACTTACGCAGACAGCAAAGACATCAGCGGAAAGGTCACCTTCTACCGGTATATGTGGCGTCGTGTGACTGCTTCTGCCGAAGTGAATACTCCTTTCTCTGGGTTCGAGAGCACCACAGGTGAGGTGAACTACGAAGACAGGTCCAACAGCAAGAGCGCGTCCGCATCTTTGCAATATGGCGACGCCCAGAAACTTGAAAGCAGTGTCAAGCTGACCTACTCTCCAAATTACGATTTGCTCGTGACGATCAACACCCCCTTCGAGGAGCTCAAGAACGTTCGCGCCGTGGCTACCGCAGACCTCAATGCCCCAAGCTACATGGTGACCAGCGGTCTCACATACGGCTACAACAAAGCCTACTCCGCCAGCGGAAAGCTGAACCTGTTCTCTGCCAAAAAGCTCGACGCTTCCCTTGAGGTGAAAACTCCCATTGCCGGTTTGGAGATGACCAAAGTCGAATATGACCATAAAGTCGACGCCTCCAGCATTGATGGCTCAGCCGCTTTGATCTATGAGAACGGACGCAAGACGGTCAGCGCTGAGCTTCAGTCCAGCATCTACCCATCTTTGGACGCCAGCGTCACGGTGAAAACTCCCGTGGATGGTTATAGAAGCGTTCTTGGAACCGTGACCTACGACACCTCTTACAACAAGTATGAGGCTTCCAGCTCTCTCAAGTTCGAAGGTCGCAGTCTCTACACCATGACCTCTGGTCTTGACTACTCCGTGGAGCCAATCAGAGCCTTTGCCAAGGTCTCCACCCCATACGCCGACTTCCGCAACGTGGAGCTGGTCTTGACCCACGAGGGCCAGTTGAACAACTTCAAGTCTACAGCATTCCTTGCCTCTCCGCTCACAGACAACGTCAACGCCCAGGCATCCCTGAACTACAACAGCCCATACGACATGAGCCTGAGCACATCCGTGAAGAGCTCACTGTCCGGCATGGACGACATCAAGTTTGAGCTGAAGAATTCTGATGTGTCAGGCGAGAAGAAGATGAACGCTGTTGCTGGATGGACCGACGGTCAAGAGGTAAACTTGTTTCTTTGTACTCAGGATTTTATCATTTATAAAATTGAATTGTTTTCTTTTCTTTGGAAGAGACCAAGTAGACCACATTCTGTTAATATAAAACAACTGAAACAACTGTTGTCTTTAGTTTTTTCTCATTTTCAGGAGGGGGGGGCTGAGGGGGGGGTAATTTTTAAATACAACTTGTAAATAAAACACACCTCTGTGAAAGAGTATATAATATAAAAGTGACAGAAAAGCACACAACAAACAAATCCGACTATTATCTGTTCATCCTTTTAAATACACTAGGACCTATCTTTCTGACGAAGAAGACATAGTCGTTCATTTTTTTAAAATTATTATTATTATTATTATTATCATAATGACGACGACAACGACGACGACATCAGGATTTTATTATTATTATTATTATTGTTATTATTATTATATTATTATTATTATTATTATTCTTATTATTATTATTATTATTATTATTATTATTATTATTATTATTATTATTATTATAACTATTGCTATATCTTCAACCACAACAATATTGTGTATCACCTTTGCATCGGCGAAGTTGATGTCATCAGTAAAACAGAAATGACCAACCGAGTAAAACAAAACAACAACTCACACTTGTTCCTCCCATTTCCCTTTCCCCAGATCCACACTGACGTCTTGTACCGCACCCAGGAGACCTGGTATGAAGACATGGCCCACACTGACGTCAGTCTGTCCACTCCGTTCAAGCTCCTGAGCAGCCTGTCCGTTCAGGCCGAGCAGACGACAAAGAGTCAAGGCCGCGAGGGAAAACTGGCAATCGACGTGAACGGCGCCCAGCTCCTGGACGTGAGTGGTGATTACAGCTCTAAGGATAAACACGAGGCAACCTTGACCTTCAACAACCCATGGCCCATGCAGTACACAGCGAAGGGCTTCAAGAATGAAGGACACATGGAGGCTGACGTGATGGCCAACTGGGACAGGTAAGAATAAACTGTAGTGCAAAGCGCATAGAGATTTATGTCGTGCGCTATACAAATGCTATTTATTATTATTAATAAATTATAGGATGGTTTTGGCCCTTTCACAAGCGAGCTTTGAGATTGGGTATGTGTGTTCATGAACAGTATCAGTGAGATAAGTGGGTAATCCTGAACTTGTAGGAGTAAACCAGTCATCTTTTTGCTATTAAGACATAATGATTCAAAACGAAGAGGAAAACAATCAGCTGCGTATATACCCAATAAGAAAAAAAAATCCACCTCGCCTATACAGTGTGCTTTATTACTCATTACGTTTTACTAGAACGCACGCGGAGCATCAAACGGGTCAAAAACTTCTTTCCAAAAAAAAAAATATTAGAATCATCCCACCCCCACCCCACTCCTCCTGAAAAATTGTGTTTTAAATCGTTGCCCCGTCCCTTCCCTCGCATACATTTTATTTAAAGTAAGTGTTTTACGGTATTCGCAACACAATTTGGCCATATAAGTGCAGAGGATTAGAGGTGTTGCAAGAGAGTCATCATCATCATCCGGTGCCTGGCCGACTGGCGTGGGTGGTCATGGACATCCACTTCGCTCTGTCTTGCGTTCAGCAATGGTGTCTGTTGTTCTTGCTGCTCCCAGCCTTGTAGTCAACTTGTCCAATATCTTTTCCCTCTGTCTGCCTCTGCCTACCCTTTCCATCAAACGTGCCTGTTACAAGAGAGTAACAAACACAAAAAGAAGGAGGAGAGATTAGGACAATAGATATAAGAAAATCAAAAAAGAAAGAGGATAGATAATGACAATAGATATAACAAAAACAAGAAAGGAGGAGGAGGGTCAAGGACAATAGATATAACGAAAACAAAAAAGGAGGAGAGATGAGTGATGACGATAGATTTCCCTTTCCTCACTTTACTAAAAATGTGTTTGCTTACTTCCTCACAGAGATGACTTGAACTGCAACGTGCACCTGCTGGCCGTGGTCAACGACAAGTCCGATTCTTACACCACCGACAGGGCTGTTGACATCAGTGTGGAGAGGTCATCCCGCAAAATGGGCCTGTCCCACACCCAGAAGGTGTCCGACTCTCAGCTGGCCAGCACAGGCAAAATGTTCTGGGACTCTGGCGATGAGGACAAGGTCTCCTATGACCTGACCCTGACTGACAACAACAGACGTAACAAGGTCGTGACTGATGGCAGCCTCAAGCTGGGTCTTCCTTCCAGAACCCTGGAACTCTCTGGATCTTTGAGGTAGGTCACCCTCAGGCTGAAGTTGAAGTCTTTAGTTTTAGTAAGAGTTTTGCTGCACTTGCAACACAATAAGGTCATATAAGTGCCGAAGATTAGACAGTGACAAACACAAAAAAGAAGGAGGGGGATAAGGACGATAGAAGTTTAATAGGAAAGAAGGAGCAAACCACACCAGAGCACCCACCAACCATCCACTGAAGTTTTTAATCAGAAATTAATAAATGACCAAACTTTAGGTCGGTTTACTGGGAAGAGATTACAGTTAATAATTATGTACTGTCCTTATAGACGCAGACTTTAGGAACGCTAAATGCATAAAGGAAAAAAACCCCACTCAAATACAGCAAAAATGTTTTGCTTTGGCCGAAATAACCGTATCTCTAATTATAATATGATGATCAGTTAAACATTAACATATTTTTAAAATCATTCTTTTAGCGGTAGCCCCGCTGCCCAAACTGCCGACGCGACATTCAGCTGGGACGCAGAACGAGACAGCAGCAAGCAGGTTGGCGTCAAGGCCACACTGAAGAAAGGAAACACACTGCGTGGTGACGTCACTCTCAGCATGCCCTCCATCAGAAAGGTGAGTTATGCTCTCTCATATAGTTGAGATTTGGAACTTTTATATATGTAAAGCCCCCCCCCCCCCCCTCTTTTTAACCACTCCTAATACGAAGTGCCCACTACGGACGTGATCGGCGGATCGGGCCGAACGCTCGACTCGATCGCCTAAAAAACAAACGTGTTTGTTTTCAGTTTCAGGCGATCGAGTCGGGCGATCGGCCGAATCCAGCCGTAGTGGGCACCCCGTATAAGAACATAATCTGTTAAGGACACAATCACTAGACATTATGTTATTGGTTTCAATACCACCTTTTCCTTAAGAGAACAAGCAAGTTTTTGTCTTTTTTTTTCTCCCAGTATAGAAATGAGCTGTACACTGTATGACACTTTGGACATTCCGTACAAAATAGGACATCTAGTCTGAAGTTTTACATAATAATGACTGTAGATTAGACTTTTTTTTTTGGGGGGGGGGTTGCTGTCTTCTTCTAAGGCTGCATAGCTGTACAAAGGAACACAGAGAATATCGTGCTCTCAATCCCATACATGGCGTGTTCTTTGAGTCTTTCGTGGGGGTTTTATTTGTGTGTGTGTGTGTGTGTGTGTGTGTGTGTGTGTGTGTGTGTGTGTTGTTGTTGTTGTTGTTGTTTGTTTTGTTTTTAATGTCTTATTTTTGCCAGTCTATAACACGGTCTGAAAAATCCTGCCAACAGGAGGTCCGCGTGGACGGTGAGCTCATGCTTAAGAATGGCCGCGTCATCCTGGACTCCAAGACCGACATCTCTTACTCCAGCGACGCCCGCAAGACCTTGACCTTGACTTCCAAGGTTCAAGACATCTCTGACTACTACAGCAAGTACAACTATAGCGTGCAGCTGGGCGTGAAGCACCCGTACACCAACATCGACGTCCAGATGAACTCCCATCTGGGCAGTTCTGACGAGCGCATGACAGTTGGCGTGGAGACGAGCTACCTGACCGCCCGCAGACAGACCAAGAATTTGGCCCTGCTGGCTGAGATTAACAAAATCAAGAAGCAGATCAGTGTGCAGGTGAGATTTATGAAATCAAAAAGTTAAGTAGATCAGTGTAAAGTGAGATTTGCGAAATCGAAAAGTAGATTAGTGTGCAGATGAGATTGTAACGACATTAAGAAGCAGGTTAGAATACAGGTGAGATCATCAGAATTAAACAGGCCAACCTAGTCTTTTAAGAACCTTGTTCTATTCGGTGTATATGCATACAAAATGTATACATTCGTAATGGTAGTTATTAACACAAAATTAGATAATCTTAAGCCCAGAGAAAGAATTAATAACGAAAAATCTAATACTGGCTCCGTATTCGTTTTCTTTTAACACATAAAAACTGGTACAGCCGTGTATTTTATTCGAACTTTTTCTACTTTGCCGGATATTGAGTTTAGAGTAATAGATTATAAAGAGAGCGATTATATGAGATAACTTATGCAGTCTTTTTGTAACCGGTTCCGCCCACAGATGACCAACCCCATCAACAAGATCGAGATCGTGGGAGACGTTGTGAGCACCAGCCCGTCCAAGCTGAGACTTCTGAACAGGATTGATGACACCGAGGTGTTCCGCTCTGAGCTGACGGTCGACACTGACAAGAAGTCTGCTGAGATCAGCGCAATTGTGGACTCTGGTAAGTTGAGGATGACAACCCCCCCCCCCCCCCCCTTTCCCTACGAATCATATTTGTCTAGTAGGGAAATAAGTTTTGGTTAATTAACCAAATTATGTTTTGATCACTGCCGGTCGTGATGAAAGAAAAATGGTATGACTTGGATTAAGTACACCTGACACAAAATTCTGATAAACATTTAATTTGGTGATAGTCTCTCGACATCTGTTCCTTAAAAATTTCTACTTTGTTATTTATTTTTTCCCACTTTTAGTAAAGTTGTTTAAGAGGTAGGACCTGAAAATCTATGCTTGCCTCCAAGTGGGCGAGACGGGTGCCCTGATTAGGGGGGGGGGGGGGCAGGGGATTTACACTTTGTGTGCCACGATTCAAGAGCATAATAACAATTTACTATGAGTATGATAAGATTAGTATTGAAAACTTCAACAGCAACGTTTGAAAACGAATCGTGTGTGATACAGCCAACTGTCTGATCAACAGGACAGGGTTGTATCCACGTTATAAATGTGCTTGAGCCTCTGGACTAAAGACTGGGTGTAGCTGTTGGGCGCTTCACGGTCGCATGCAGGATACGCGAGTTCGATTCCCGAGTGGGGAGACATTTTTATCAGGTATCTCGCCCTTTCTGCTAGGATGCTGTATCCCTTTGAGCCCGGGCTGGCCCTGACAGGCAGAACAGGTAGCCCACTTCTTAAATCATCAAAATTGTGTTGCCGGGGGCGCAAAAAACACTTGATTTTTTAAAATTAATAATATAGATCTCTGAGAAAGTCTTGAGGTTCACAATATCACACTAATTCCCGTCCACAGAAACCTTCAGCCTTTCTGCCCAGTACCCAAACAACACCGCCTTCCGTGCGGTCATCAGCCACTCGACGCCAACCGAGAGCCGTCAGGAGGCCCTGCTGGCCCTCCGCCTGAACACCTCCCGCCTTCTGCACTCCCGTCTGCACTGGAGACCCTCCTCGTTCGCCGAACTGACTTCCGGACTCGAGGAGAGGGCTGCACGCGCCGGGGTCAAGGTCGCTAAGATGTGGGAGCTGGTCAACGAGGCTGTGGCTGATGAGGTAAGGCGGGCTCGCTTTTATGTGTTGCACGCGTGTCTGCTTGTTGTTTGTTTGTTTGTTTGGGAGTTGTGTTGTTTTTTGTTTGTTTTTTTTGTTGTTGTTTTTTTTGTTTGTTTGTTGTTATTCTTTCTGTTTTCTTTCTGGGGTTGTTGTTTTTTGTGTGTTTTTTTTGGGGGGGGGGGTCATCTAGAGTTTTTGACCAAAGATAGAGGAGGTGTGAACTTCGGTTGCTATTAGAAGATGAAAATACAGATAAAAAGGTAATCTACATGCTAACTGAATCATTATAACTGCCTGAATAAGTGGGGGAATATAAGCTTTTATAACTAGAGTTCTGCTGGCATTTGGACAATGATCCAACATAATTTACTTTCCTTCTACGAATGAACATTAATATGACCAGACTCACAGTGGGTGGTTGACGGATGCTCTTATGTAGTTTCCTCTTTCTTTCTTATCAAACGTCTATCAGCCTTATTTTTCCATGTTTTGTGTGTTTGTTACCCTCTTGTAATACTCCTAATCTTCGTGGGTGGTTGGCGGGTGCTCTGGTGTGGTTTGCTCCTTCTTTCCTACCAAACATCTATCGTCTTGATCTTCCCTCTTTCTTTTTTGTGTTTGTTACTCTCTTGTAACTCCTCTAATCTTCGGAACTTATATATGACCTAAATGTGTAAAACTCTTACTAAATCCAAATATGGAACAAAAACTAAAGTACTGATCTGTTTCTTTTGTACATGTTAAAGTTTTACGGCGTTTGCAACTGCATAATATCATATGAGCACGCACGTACTATTCTGATAACACAAAATATAAAAGAAATACATACATACATACACACATACATACATACACACATACATACATACATACATACATACATACATACATACATACATACATACATACATACATACATACATACATACATACATACATACATACATA